GAGCAGAACAGTAGGACGTTAAACCCCATTTCATTTCATTTCATCAATGTGTCTGGAACTTTTAACGGAATGAGATCATCCCAATCTAAATTCAGCTCGCAAAGTTCTTGTAGAATTTTCTTCGCGACCAAAGTAACTGGTGCAACGAATCCAAGCGGATCGTAAATAGACGAAACCATTGAAAGAATACCCCTTTGACTTAAGGGTCTGTCTTTAATAACGATTGAAAATCCGAAAGAATCTGAAGAGACTAACCATTTAACTCCAAGTACTCTTTCGACTGGTAATTCGGGTAATGACTTCAAAACGCCCATACAGTTTGACATTACTTTAGTAAGCTTAAATCCACCATTACTACACACTTCCTTTAAATCCTTAATAAGCTGTATAACAGTGACGGTGTCCGGAACACTCTTAAGACAATCGTCGACGTAAAAATTGTTTCTTATGGCATCACTAACCGAATTACCAAATTTGTGTTGTATGTCATCAGCTGTGCGTCTCAACGCGAATCCGGCGTAGCAGGGAGAGGATGTAGCTCCAAACAAATGTACCGTAAATCGAAACTCTTCCAATTCCTTACCTTATCACCATCTTTCCACCAGAAAAGTCTTAGATAGTCACGCTGATATTCTGGTACATTAACCTGATGAAACATGCCCTCTATGTCGGCTACAAAGGCAACATGTTCCTCTCTAAACCGCGTTAGAACACCAATCAAAGAGTTTGTTAAGTTAATTAGGACCTTGTAACAGTTGACTATTTAGGGAATAACCATTAAACTGAGCACTCGCGTCGAATACTACACGTAATTTATCAACTTTACGCGGGTGGTACAGCCCATGATGTAGCAGGTACCAAGTATGACCTTCTATCGACGTATTGTTCACTGGTAGTTTCTCAATATAACCTTTAGCAATGTTATTGTCTATAAAAAACTTATAATGTTCATAATATTTCGGACTAGTAATCATTTTCTTTCTTTGTCATTCCATACGTTTAATTACTTGAGCACGATTGTCCGGAAACAATAAATCGTCGGACCGAAACGGAAGTGGAACCTCGTAATGACCGTCTACCATGCTGGTTCCATTCTTAGCGATTTCCATAAAACGTTTATCTTCTTGAGACAACCCATACTCTTCTGCAGAATTGTTTACCCATAAGTCGCTAAAGTCCTTTTCTAATATACTAAGTACTGATTTTGGAGTGAGCACCTCCTTAAAATGTTCTATTTCACGAACAATGATATTATTAACCATGATTTTACCATTAGACCATGGAGTAATCGCATGGCAAATGGTCCTTTGCCATGGCAAGGCTTGACTTCATGTGGTTCTAGTGCGACTGGACAATAGCTACCAATCAGCAAACCAATTTCTAATTTTGGGTCGTATGGCGGAATCTTACTTGCTACGTCCTTTAGATGCTCCCAAAAACCGACAGTTTCTGGTGTAGGTATCTGTTCGCAAGTCACCGGTATTTCATTTCTGGTATACATTTTAGGCATTTCTATTGTATTTTCACCATATACATCTGACAACAGTAAACCATTTAGTACTTCACAATCTACTACATTTTGACCATGCATAGTTCCAAGATTCAATTTAGTCACAGATCCTTTAACGCCTATTTTATCTTGAATAGATTTGGTAATAAAACACCCACTACTACCATTATCGAAAAAAGCATAAGTCTTTACCACTTTGTGACTGTTTTTATGCTGCATCAAAACGGGAATAACGGACTGTAAAATTATAGAGTTAATAGGCCCTGTTGCACTACAAGTCTTAGTGGGAAGTTCAACTTTATTGCTTAAAGAAGTGTCTTTAGAACTAGACAAATTATCTCTTTTCAAAACGAAATTGTCGTCGTGCAAAACTGTTAAATGGCGACCATTACATTTATAGCAGGTTGATCGCTTTAAACATCCTTTGGCGAAGTGATCATTAGAAAGGCATCCAAAACATAGTCTCTTTTCAAGAAGAAATTCCTTTCTACGATCCAGGGATATTTGGAAGAAATCAGGACAAGAATTCAGATCATGATAACCGAAGCAAAATAAACATTTAGGTATGTTGTCATTCTGGTTAGGTCTGTTGTTACCTCGGGGGTACCCGGTCCCGTGTGACAACTCCGGTCGATCAGACTTAGTAGCTTGTAAGTTAGTGGCAAAACTTTTCTCTTTACCAAATGATAACTTATTAGAATGCATAGGTTTGAAAGGTCGACTGATATTAGTGTGGGGTTTGGTTAACGCTTCTTTACCAAAGATAGGATCATTAGCTGACTCGACTGCATCTTTAACGAACTCAACTATGTCACTAAAGTCTGGAATTCTGTGATCATATTTACGAAGGCGCATAACACGTTCTCTCCATTTAGACTGTAAGTAAAACGGAAGCTTCTGAATTATAGATTGTAGGTTTGGGGGATGATTTAAAACAGTCATATACGATAATCCAGACATGGCATTCCTACACTTGACTAAATATAATAAGAAAAATTTAAGACCGTGTACATCGTCTTTAATTGTAGTCCAGTTGAGAACTTTATTAATGTATGCAGTTGACACTTTATACGGATCTCCATATTCATTATCTAACAGGCTAGCTTCTTGAAAACCTTCATTTGGCACTAAATGTAAACAACTGTCAATCAAATATCTTGGTTCATCTTCGAGTAACTGTTGTAAGTAATACAAACGATCAGCAGGATCATTCAATTTGGAACTAATTCTAGTTACAAAGGCACTACGAAAAGTATCATACTCCATCGCATCACCTTTAAATTTCTTTATTTCAGGCTGAGGTAGAGACATTGCTGCCATTAATTGTTTATGCATTGTTAGTACATCATCAGTGGAGTTATCTACCTTTGTTGACGGTGGGGGGTTAAACTTTTGATAATTTCCATTATCATCTAATGACATCGATTCAAATGGAACTGCGTTTGCTGACAATTTTTTATTTACTGGTGGCTGTTGTGTTGCATAATTGTTCTGTAAAGGTGAACGCTCTAGGAAACTGTTCTCATTATTCTGGATATGGCCTATCGGTGTAGCGTTATTACTAGATTCATGAGCTGCCTGTGTCTCTTGCTGATTACCGGGACTAACAACATTTTCAACAGAATTAATTTCAGAAACAACTATAAGTTCATTTTCCTCCTCGTGGACTAATTCTGTCATGGCCCTTTCTCTGCCTTGAGCCTTAGCAATATTAATTTCTAATTGCATCCTTTGTATTTTTTGAGATTTATCTAAGTGCTTCCTTTCCGTTAACAATTCTGCAATTTTAGCTCTTTCTTGGGCGCGAATCACAGAAGTTGAAACGTTAGTTCTTTTACTGACACTACTGTCGCGATTTACCGACACACTATCAATACTGTCATTATCATCTTCACCAAAGTCTATTAAATTTACCGCTGGTTTGCGAGTTGATGCCATGATTAATACTATAAACTCACTTCACAATGAAATTTCGTCTGTTACACTAATTACAGTTGCGTGAAACTAACTGCTCGTTCAAAAACTAATATAGCAGCTGTAATTAAAACAATAGTCCAATGTACCTTTAGCCGTTTATTGTTCCTTTACAACTCTATAGGATGTCCATACATTAGAACCATTAGAACCGTTAAACCATTATATTTATAATACAATACTGACTGTACAGGTGATAGGCCTACTACTGGCGGACATTACAGTTTACACTTGATTCACCGTGTTCGATTAACAGCCTGTCTTTACTGATTTACAATACAAATACACTAAACCTAAAAGTCTTAACACTCGTCATCAACTGCCGTTCAATTCAGAAAACCATTTTCCTCACTATCTTGCTTGAACGGAGCCGAGAAACGGTTTTTGAACGATTAGCGATTAGTTTCTGCCCTAACTCTTTAAAAAGCACAAGTTTTCGTTGCCGCCATAACCGGAAATGACGACGACTTAAAACTATGGACGCAGACCACACTAATGGCCTCAGACAACTAATTAACTATCCTTATACATAATGCAATGCGTTTTGCTGCAGTAACACCGGGAGTCAATTCAAACTGTCACACTGGTAAAGGTCGATGATGGCCATTTGAAATGGTTATAGAGTGATTTCGTACTCGTAAGTCAAAGTCAAATGTTCAAAAACTGACTTTGAAAAGTTTGAGTTCCCTGCTTTCACCATGGACATTTCGAGTAGAGTGGGTGAAAAAAGGGAAGGCACGATATTAAACTACACCGGTAACTCTTTTTGAAAGGAGATACAGAATACTGCCTGTTTCTTGATCATCGCGTTGTACATTTTAACTAGTAGCGGATAACCGTGTGCTGTTTATTATTGGGCGTGCAGTTTACACTTAAAGAAATACTCCATTTTACAACCTTTTCGTGATGTAACAAATTGTCAGATGGAATCAAAATATAGCCGGCGCAAGGAGCGAAGTAGGCGGGGAAAATTGCCGACCGCTGGCTCTTAATGAAACCCCTGATAGATGGAGTTTGATAATAAACATTATCTGCTTACGGTAACCAGAGATAAGCATTCTGATTGGCTGGTGCTTTGGGGCATGATAACTTTGGTTTTAATTAAGTGAGAGTGATGAAACTCCTAGTATAGATTCATTATATCATTACTTTGACTAAGTTCGATGATGAAAATTTTCTGCTTAGGCTAGGGAGCAATAAGCAATTTGATTGGTCAAGACTTTGGAACATAACAACACACACTTTTAATTGAGATTTAATGTTTTAACTTGATGCAGATTTTCATTAGGTGAATGTCTTGACTGAGTTCAATGATTAACATTTTGAGCAAAAGCTAAGCAGAGCTAAGCAATTTCATTGGTCGATGCTTTGATTCTATCTGATAGAGAGTGATGAAACTTAGTGTATAGTTGATAATCAGTTTGATTGCTTGATACTTTTGAAAAACATAAATGTGCTATTAATTAATATGTGTCATCTATTTATTTTGGGATTTCTGTTGGCTTGTTTTATCTAGGTTATCTCTACATTGGTGCGTCAGTTACATAATCGTGATACACGACGTCCATTCTGTCCCCAGTCTCACTGGTTATCTAGTCATATCAGTATCCAGGCTGATAGGGTAAGTTATTATATCTAGTCCCTCGTCAGAACATGTCAGATATTTGCACCTATTAGTGGGAGCTGCAAAATTTTGTCTAAATTGTAAAATACAGTAAACTTTGCATAAGTCGGATCTATGTGGACTTATCAATTTTATCCGAGTTACCGAAGACCAAAATCCAATCTTAGCTCGATTAGAAATAAACTGCAAGAGCCGGATAATAACTGATTCAAAGTAGTGCCGATTAATCGGATGCTGTATAAATTCTATAATGTCAATGTCTGTACTGCGTTCCAAGGTTTTTTTTCTTGTGATTGTTTGTTAATAAGTAAATTATAAAATGATGCGTGAACACTGAATAGCTGATTGTATATTATTGAGCTCAGTAAGACATTCTCGTGTTCTGATTTACCCCTACAGCTTTAACTGCTAATTAAAAAACCAATATCGACAATAGATTACAATTCACTAGTACAACTATTCCCGTACAAAATATTTTAACATATATAGCGATAATCATATTGACGAAAAACAACAACAGAAGCCGCAGAAGACGGTACAAATAGAAAAAAACATGTGTCATTTAAAAAAAGCAGCAACATATTCCGAGGGGGGCGAATAGAACATCCTCCTCACTGGTAATATCAGGAACTCGTTTATTCGTTGTCTTGTAAACTGTAACGGCACATTCTGATTGTGAATTTAATAATAATTTACAACTGGATTTAAAATTAATTTGTACTGGAGGAATTTCTGAGGGGATCTTTTGATTATATTGTTGGAGCACTGTTTTCTTCTTTATAAAACGGTATTTTATTAAAATTACATTGGCAGTTTATCACTCGTAAAAAGGCACAGCCAACTTCCCCGTCTCGTGCAGCATGTATTCAGTCCATGTATTATAATGCCCATGAAATTATCATGTCTGTTATTGTCCATTGTTGACAGGGAAACACTTATTACAGTATTTAAATACCGTTCAGCGAATCTAACATCGTGCGGTAAAATAAACATTCGGCGGCAAAACTGAACAATGACCCACAACTAAACACATCGTAATATCTGAACATTGCACGTAAAATTGGATGTTTGACAACAAGATTGAACACCTTGTGTAATTGGACACCTTGACTAATTTTAATCACGGCTCGGGAAATTGAATGGTCCAACTAATTATTGAACAGTCATGATAATTAAGCAGGATGCTTATAATTAAAAACGTGTCGACAAACTAAACACTAGTTAATTAGACGCTTGGTAATCAAAATTAAACACTGAGATTTGAATTGGATACAAGTACAAATTGAACACTATTAGCCAAAATTAAACTATAGTTATGCATATTTAGACACAAGACCGAAATTAACGTGGGATTAAACGATACCAATGTTACAGTGATAGAGTCCAAATGATTTTATCCGAGTTGAGCAAAGATCCAACTTATACGAATCCGACTTATGCGAGGCTTACTGTATTTAAAAATGATTATATACTAATGTCCAAAAGAAAGTATACACACTAAAAATATGACTAAGTTTTATTTAGATTAAAAACATTTGATAAAACATAACTTGCATCAAAAGTCAACATTTCTAAGCAATATAAAAAAGCGAACAAATTGACATTGTACCCAAATGCCGCATACGATGTAAATTGACTTTGGTTGATGCAGCATGAAATGCACAGTGTATACTTTCTTTTGGACATTAGTATAGTAACATATTTAAAGATATTACATTACCATATACAGGTCATATTTAACTCTTACAATGCTAAGAGTTATGCATATTTTCTCTCATATTTGGTAGTACCACTCTGAATACCTCAACTAAGCAATTTGATCAGTGAAGAAACCGCTCCATCTCATAATATAGTTGAGATTTTTAAACATATTTTTGTGGCAGATTTAATTTCTATTTGCCTTGTGATTCGGGCAAAGTGATTGCTGCTTCGCTACTTATCATCCTTAAAGGCATTATCTTTTGACATTAGACGTTAAAGAATAAACACATGCACCTATTAACAAGAAGTAGTTTACAGCAAGATTAAGAACTAGATTATATATAATAATCGGACTTCTATTCTTGTTGTATTTGAATCTTCGTGATCGTAACAAGACTACACCAACAATGGTTTTACAACTTAATTGCTAAGCTGTAATGGCTTTGAATGTTCCTCGTTCTCAATAATAATGGCTGCTAGGAATTTCTAAATGAACTCTGATCCAACTCACTCTATACCCTAATTTATACCCCCGAATTTCTGCAGGTCTTCGATAATCTTGACGTTAATTTCCATTCCAAATATGGAATAAACCTCTTTATTTCACACGACTAAAGGAGGAGACATTACCTTATTTGGTCTATCAACCATAGGTCAATTAATAGTCAGAATTTGATGGATATCTTGACAATGGTTATAATTTTACCAAAATATCACTGGTTTTTTTATGTATAACTATATATTCACGTTCATTAAGTACGTGTGATTTGACTCTATAGACAGAGTGAAACAACAATTATGCAAAGAACCAAAATGTTACAAAAATATGCATTGATTATATTTTCATTGTTATTGTAGCCATCCCAGATATACCGTACACATAATGCTGTATTTACTAGACGACCGTTAGGATCTTTACAATCTTTGACCAAAACAAGTTATGGTAAGAATATTATTTATACTAATGTTATATATAACAATTAGTTTATATATTTAATCCACTGTGTTGCTTCATAAAAAATTAATTTCAATGTTGAAATTTTGTTTCAGATGATGATGGCCCTCCATTAGCTAACAGAGATGTGAGAAATTTAGTTATTTTAACGGAACTACCATTTGTTGTATGTTTTGCTGAAAGAGTCAAGGTAAATATTTCCCATAAAAATATGGCGTATTTGGTACATATATGGGAAGTAGAGACAATCAATCTTGAAAATATTGGATTCACTGAAAAACGGAAGGGTGTCACTAACTGCCAACCTGTCTGGCCTGCTCTAGTGACGTAAGGAGCACTTCTTATTTTTTGATCTAATGGCAAACAGTTATGAGAACATTGAGATGAGAGACTTAAATATTCAGTAGACTCTGTGAAAAAGGAGTCAGCAGAGGATAATCCAAGAATTTACTCAGACTTGATCGTTTATGGTAAATGGACAGCTTATAACTCTAAATACAAGCTCTTGTAACGTGACAAACGTGACTTGGCATAGATTCTAGCGGCATGGGGTAGTTTTCTTGTGATTAAAATGTTTTAAATTTAAGAGGGGTTTGAAGCAAACTTTTGATAGATAAATTAGTTTGAATATGTTTTTAGTTGGATATTTATTAAAAGTGATAATGTGCTACTAGATTACAGTAAAAAGAATTTGAGAATAGCTTAGTGATTTGCAGATACGGTATCTTTTGCCTGCTGCTAAAGCCTGTTAAAATGGGTTTCGGTTTGGCATCTGTCCGTCAAACTTTTGGAATAGAGTAACTCTGATTCTAATTGACGTAGAAATGTGTATATGTTCATTACGAACATGAATGTCGTAACTGAATTTGATGATACTCATTTTTTATATGCCCACATTGATATGTGGTCGTATATTGTCGTCTTCCGGCCGGCCGGCGGTCCGGCATCCACATTTACTTGTGTGCGCACTAGAGGCTAAAGTTAATATTGACTTTAAATTTATACACAGTATTAAAGGTCATGAGACGAAGAAGCCTATTGATCACTTTGAAAAATCTTGTGGACGTTAAAGTTAATATCCAATTGACTCTAAATTTATACACAGTGTTTAAGGTCATGAGGCGAAGAAGTCAAGTAATTTTCAACGATTTCCGATAATTACTGTCAGAGTTATGGTCCTTGTTCACTTTGAAAAATCTTTTGGAAGCTGTAGTTGCGTAAGTTAATATCCGATTGACTTGAAATTTATACACAGTGTTTGAGGTCATGATTTTCAATGAATTTTGATAACTTGAACAGCTAAATCCATGATATTAAATGTTTCAAATACTAAATGTTAGCATGGGGCAGAACTAAAAGCCAAACAAATTCAAATGATTCTCTGATAATTTTTCTTAATGAGTTGTTACTCTTAATCAGATTTTAGTGTATTATATAAATGTTTCATTACCGACAAAAGAAAAAATATGCGACATCTCTTGTTGACTGCTCGGACGACTTAGCTGCTGTGGACGTATGTTTCATTGCCTGGCAACCTATCTTTGATGAGGCTAAGCATATATAAACAATTGGAATGATCAAGACTTTGGAAGACAATAACTTATCTAACTGAGTGTGAGTTATATGAAACTTGGTGTATAGTTTTATTGCAATAATACCTTGACTGAGTTTGATAAGTATATCGGTTGATGATTTATGAAAAGAAAAATATGCAAGTAATTAATGAATGGCATTTATTTGGGGGTTAGGAGGTTGGCTTGTTAAAGATTATTATTGTCCACCGCCTTTTGAGGAAATCAGGGGACTATTAAAATGGGTCCGTCTGTCTGTCTCTCTCTCTGTCCGTCTGTCACACTTTTGGAACACCATAACTCTCCTTCTAATTGAGCTAAAATGTTCAAACTTGTTGTAGGTGTTTATTAGGTCAATTCCTTGATAGAGTTCAAAGATGAGCATTTTCTGCTTAGCAGATAAGCAATTTGATTGGTTGATGTTTTGGGACAGGATAATTTTAGTTCTAATTAAGTGGGAATAATGAAACATGGTGTATAGTTTCATTACATACCTTCACTAAGTTCAATAACGGGCATTTTCTGCTCAGGGTAAGCAGAGCGATAAGCAATTTGATTGGTCGAGACTTTAGAACACAATAAGTTTCATTCTAATTTAGCTAGAATGTTCACACTTGGCGTAGGTGTTTATTAGGTGAATGCCTTGATGGGGTTCGAAGATGAGAATTTTCTGCTTGGGGTAAGCGAGATAAGCAATTTGATTGGTTGATGCTTTTGGGACACGATAACTTTTAATTAAGCGAGAGTGAGGACACTGGGTGTACAGTTTTATTTCATCAATACCATGACAAAGTTCGATAATGAGCATTTTCTGCTCTGGGTAAGCAGAGCGATAAGCAATTTGATTGGTCGAGACTTTGGAACACAACAACTCTCCTTCAAATTGAGGTAGAATGTTCAAACTTGGTGTAGGCGTTCATTAGATGAAAGCCTTGATGGAGTGCGATGATAAACATTGTTTGCTTACTGTAAGCAGAGATAAGCATTCTGATTGGCTGATGCTTTGGGGCATGATAACTTTGGTTTTAATTAAGTGCGAGTGATGAAACTACAAGTATAAATTCATTATATCATTACCTTGACTAAGTTCGATGATGAGAATTTTTTGCTTAGGCTAAGGAGCAATAAGCAATTTGATTGGTCAACACTTTGGAACATAACAACTCTGCTTTTAATTGAGTAGAATGTTTAAACTTGATGTCGATGTTCTTTAACAGAGCTAAACAATTTCCTTGGTTGATGCTTTGGGACAAGATAACTTTGATTCTATTTGATAGAGAGTGATGAAACTTAGTTTATAGTTGAATATCAGTTTGATTACTTGATACTTTTGAAAAAAATAAATGTGTGATTAATTAATATGTGTCATCTATTTATTTTGGGATTTTGGTGGGCAACATCAGCCTCACTGTTAACTTATTTTATTTTAGATTGTTCAGCGATTAATTATGTCAGATAAAGAAGGCAATCAGGGAGAAACGACAAACTTTATCATAGGACCAGCTATTAATGTTGTTATACGAAGAAACTATATCTATGAAGATGCTTTTGAAAAACTTTCCAGCGAAAATGGTAATAATTTCAATTATATTTTGTTACATCAAAAAGAAAAATATCAACATGAATAAATTAATAAACTAAACATCATACAGTATTTAGATATTTTTGTCCCCCGCCTTTCGTCTGTCTGTCTGTCTGTCTGTCTTGTCTGTCCTCTGTTCGTCAGTCCATCTGCCTGTCACACTTTTTGGGACACAATAACTTTCCTTCAAATTGACCTTTCCATCAACTCCGCCCACAATAAGGCTTTAACCAATCGGCTCTGATTACAGTCTCCTGTGAATTTTGATATTTTGCCGTGTGTTGAAATGTCGTCAATCGTGGTTAAACATTGCTCACACCGACATCATAACAGCGATAGCTCCTATCCAGACAGTTAACACAGTGTTTAAGGTCATGAGATGAAGAATCATATTGATTTTCAACGATTTCCGATAATTACTGCCAAAGTTATGGCCCTTGATCACTTCAAAAAATCTTGTGGACGCTCTAGAGATCAAAGTTAATATCCAATTGACTTTAAATTTATACACAGTTTTTAAGGTCATGAGGCAAAGAAGTCTCTTCATTTTCAGCGATTTTCGATAATTACTGCCAGTGTTATGACCCTTGATCACTTCAAAAAATCTTGTAAATGCTCTAGAGGCTAAAGTTAATAACCGATTGTCTTTAAATTTATACACTGTGTTTAAGGTCATGATTTTTACCGATTTTCGATAATTACTGCCCGAGTTATGGCCCTTGATCACTGCAAAAAAAATCTTGTGGACGCTCTAGAGGTCAAAGTTAATATCTGATTGAATTTAAATTTATACACTGTGTTTAAGGTCGTGAGATGAAAAAGCCTATTGATTTTCACCGATTTTCGATAATTACTGCAGAGTTATGACCCTTGATGACTTCAAAAAATCTTATAAATGCTCTAGAGGCTAAAGTTAATATCTGATTGAATTTAAATTTATACATAGTGTTTGAGGTCATGGGACGAAGAATCCTGTTGATTTTCAACGATTTCCGATAATTACTGCCAAAGTTATGGCCCTTGATCACTTTGTAAAATCTTGTGACGCTCTAGAGGCTAAAGTTATCATCGATTGATACACAGTGTTTAAGATCTTGAGACGAACAAGTATATTGATTTTCAATGAATTTTTATGACTTGAACAGCTAAATCCATGATTTTAAATGTTTTGTATACTAAACCCTAGCATGGGGCAGAACTTTATAAAACCAAACAAATTCTAATGGTTTTCTGATAATTACTTAATGAGTTGTTACTCTTAATCAGATTTTAATGTATTATAAATGTTTCATTACCGAAAAAAGTAAAAATATGCAACAGCTCTTGTTGACTGCCCGGACGATATAGCTGCTGTGGGTGTATGTTTCGTGCCTGGCAACCTATCTTTAATCTTATAATCCAATGAAGTTCGATGGTGCCTCTATTGGTAGTAGATTTATTAAGCTCAGACCAGGGTTTGTGCCAAGTTGTTTAATTATTTGATAGTCAAGGTTTCGGCTAGAGTGTCTCGGTAAGTGGAAGTGAGTTGCGACAGGGGTTTTTCTCTTGTGGGTAATGTCGGCATAATGTTCCTTCAGCCTAATGCGTAACAATTAGATTTTATTGTATTATAAATGTTTCATTACCGAAAAAAGTAAATATATGTGACAACACTTGTTGACTGCCCGGACAATTTAGCTGCTGTAGGCCTATGTTTCGTTGCCTGGCAACCTATCTTTAAATGGTTTAAATGAAGAATTTACATAAATAGAAATAAATATATATAGAGTTTAATCAGACAGGCCTCAAAATGTGGCTTTAGTAACTAACCTGCCATTTATAATTTTCCACATCACACATTATCCATGCACACAAACACGATTAAATGGTTTTGTTCCTGATTTTGATCCATATGAATATCGTAATTAATTTCTTCGACTTCGGCAGGATTAAAAATTTGTGCGAATCTCCGCATTAGCTTTAAGTCTGCGACTCGAAGATTCGTGCAATTCCATAATCCGAATTGACGTCGATTCCGCCAAGTAAAGCATACATCTCAAATCATGCTTTAAATTTAATGTAGAGGCCTGTGACCTTGGCGTTGAGAAATGTGTAGAATTCAAATTCTAAAATATCGGTATAAAACTGAATATCAAACATGAAGTTGCAGCCGTACATGACACTATTCTATTATTAACCATGTGCAGAGAGAACAGCTGATCACGCCCCCTGAAATTCCTTTCTCACATTTGTGAGGGGTTCTGGGGAAAACAGGCGCTTCTCGCTGGTGGCTATTTTAAAGCTACGGCCAATATACATTGCAAAATCAAATTTTTGTCTGAAATGCATATCGGCCAAAAATAGATCGAAAATACATTTAACTTTCATCCCTGAAAACTGAAAAAGAGAAAGTGGAATTCCACTCCAAAATTGTATTTTAGAAGAGATTTGTCAAGGTATTCATTCAGAAGTTATGTTTTTATCCAATAAAAAGTAAAAAAAAAACCCACCAAAATCGGACATTGTTTTGAAGTATTTCTCCTGGCTCGATTGCTAAATAACTTCTATCAAACTCTGCCCCTTGACGTCAACTTTCCAAATATGGTAAATTTATGCAGATTCAATAAGACCTAATTGCGTAAGGGCCAGTAGTAACAAAGCTTGCAATCTGTCTAGAGCTGTTAAGAATGACGTTTTGTTGCTAGGTCGTGGCTCTTTCGAACACGCTGATTGGTCAATGTTCACTTGTGCATGCGCTAAGATGTACTTGTGTTTTATGGCGCGAGAAAAATGGAAGCAGACGTTAAACCCATGCCATAACATTGCTTGCCTTACTTCGAGCGATAATTACGTGTGAAAAATAATGTCTTCCGCCAATTCTGCCGCAAGAATAGCTTGTATGCTTAATTCCACCCGGGAATTTGGCTTTGGAGACGGAGAAGTTCTTGGTGTGTTTGAAGATTACTTTTCGGCTTCGTATGAAGGTAATTATTATTATTATTAAATTAATAAAATGAAATTAAAAATATAAAACTGTCGGGCTGGGGTCTGTAGGCCTAGTTTGTAGATTTCTGTTGATCCTCCACTGCTCTAGCACGACAAAGATCGTAATATCTGTTCGTTGACCTACTAACATGAAACATGTATTCTATAGAGGTCCTGTTGCATTAGTAGTAATAGTCTACTAAAATAATGGAGCCTACCGACTAGTACCGTACGTGAATAGGGCCTATAGCCTACTATGCTGATACATGGTCGTGTAGATATACTAGGTCATTCTCATTGAATATTATAAATTTGGAGTAGATCTAGGCCTATGGGTGACTGATCCCGCCTTGTCACTATGATGTGCAGATTTCCTAAACACCCTTCTCTTGAACTGATACACTATTCGACTCTTTACGCAAGTAAAATTAGGTTCAGTTGCAATTTGTTCAACACATATCATCATAGTTTGCATGGAAATAAGTGATTATAAGTGAAAAGTGGAACACAGAAATCTTAATTTTATCATACCGAACAGTTTTTCTGTATTTTCGAGTGATATAAACATCACATGATTCTGGTACGTTCGCCATTTTAACTGAACAAAAATTTCGCATAGCAGTTGGGTTAAATCAAATAATATAATTATTCGGTAAGTTTTCACCTTTATTTCAATGAGAATTGGTTTATTATATGTTAAGCTATGTGTACAGTTTTGGGGTCAGTGTAATTGGAAATTAAGGGAGTTATAGCCCAGTAACTTTTTTGTAGTCAAATGACTACAAAACTTGCGCAAAGGAAGGCCTTAGGATGGTCCACTACTGTGGCTGGAGTAAGACGTAAGACATCAGTAGTGGAACCATTTCTAGGGCTAGTGGGTGAGGCTGAAAGAATGTCTCCATCCATACCATAGGCCTACCTGGCCCAGGACGATTTGTCCAATACTATTGCTAGTAGTAATACTAAATTATATATAATATAGGCCTAGTAAATACTGTATTAAAGTGCAATACTGAGTATTATATAGTAATAGGCCTACCTACCACTACATATTGTAACATATCAGTTTATCACCACATAGATGGAGTCTAATACCTTTCTCATTATTGTGAAAAACTGACAGAATACTTCCCTTATTATTAGGCGTAAATAAATTATTTAATTTGCATAGATCTTGCAAAATTATTTACCATAATGGTTGTGATGGTAAATAAATGTTTTGGCATTCCACTCCAGTTATCGCCCTTTTTAAGATCACCCAATATAGGCCTAATATTAGTAATAACAAAATATATAATTACTCATACTAATTAGTATTACCAGTACAAGTGTTGAAAAACAATAACAGTTTAATTTGTGGAAAATAAATTATTTGCTGCAATAATAATTTCGCCGTTCCATAAACCCTCCCTTTATCACTAACTGGATACTATAAATAGACTGTAGACTATACCGTACAATTACTTTTAATATTAGCCTAATTGAAGAATTCTGTCAGGTTTGGATAATAACATGGTACCGTAGTATATTGTTGTATTTAGTAGGTTAGGCTTAAGCTTAGAATTGGGAGATATTTGGTAAATCTCGGTTGACTGAGAGAGGGGGGGGGGGGAAATAACATCCACTGGACACAAACTAGGTCATTTTGGGACAAACATGTCATATGGTTAAATTTTATTTCACAATAATTTGCTTGCACGTAGGGGTCAATAATTGCAGTGGGAGGAAACCGGGGAACCCAGAGAAAACCCATTTGGCCACCCCAAAAGACATGGGGTTTAACATCAACTGGACACAAACTAGGTCATTTCGGGACTAACATAATACATCATATGGTTAAATTTTATTTCATTAATTCGCTTGCACATAGGGTCTATAGCAGCAGTGGGAGGAAACCAGAAGGGTCTATAGTAGCAGTGGGGGAAACCGGAAGACCCGGAGAAAAGCCATTCAGCCACCCCCCACCCCCCAGTAGGCCTAAATGGTACACTTAATTTATTTCTTTCCTCTCGCTTCATTTTCTTGT